ATCAATGATTTTCATTCTATTAATGTAGTATACATTAGTAGACCAATATTTCTTATGATTATAGACATAAAACTACAAAACAGTAGCAGACTAAATCTAATAGCATATATAGTTATTTTTATATATTGTCAGATAAAATACACATTTCCAAGTGGTACTTGAGAAGCCAAGCCATCATTCCTAGCTGGGTATGGTGACTTACACCTGTAATCCAGCACTGGGGAGAATGAGGTAGGAGCACTGCTATGATTTGAGTCCAGCCTGGCTACATAGTGAGTTCTAGGTCTGTCTGGACTGTTCTAGGTCAGTCTGGACTAGAGAGTGAACCTCTACTGCCCCAAAATCCATCTACTTTTCATTGGAAAGCCATCATTTAAAGCTGTTATTGAGTTATTCACAAGTGTCGGTTAAAGGCAGCTGTGGAAAAGCCTCAGAGGCCTTTCCTGAAGTCTTGTCTCTGAATTATTCCAGTTGATTCCACTGAAGCACAAACTGTAGCCCATTCCACAACTGACATGAGTAACTATATACAGCGCTCTCTCTCAAAGTTAGTAAGGGAAAGATGATGTGTGGTCGATCATACAATACCAACTCTGTACATCAGAGAAATTAATATGGCTTTTGTTTGTGTTTAGATAAGGTCTCCCTGTAGCCCCAGTTTGCCTATAACTCACTATGTAGACCAGGCTGGCCTTGATCTCACAGAGATCTACCTGCCTCTGCCTCCTGAGTGTTGGGATTAAAGGCATGCACTACCACACCCATCTCTCTCTCTCTCTCTCTCTCTCTCTCTCTCTCTCTCTCTCTCTTTTTAACTATTAAGGAATAGAAACCACAAAAAGTAAAGATTTCTAATGTAAGGGACTAATACAGTGAGAAAACACAAGGAATATGGGTAATAAAGGTTGAAAAACACAACTATAAAGAAATAAGACTAATTTTTCATTAACTGACCAGAACTGAGTGATTTCCCCTAGGAAATCTAGGAATAGAGTTTGTTGTTTGTTTGGGGGTGGGGTTGTTGTTGAGATAGGGTCCCTCTGTGTAGCCCACACTGGCCTCAAATGTGCCATCCGTCTGCCTGATAAGCTCTTTGAGTGGGGATTATAGGCAAGTGCCACCATGTCTAGCTCAAAGTTCTTGATAGTTCCTTACAAGTCACAAGCATGTGACCATGTACTTGAGCAAATCTACAAAGACATAAAATTAGTAGAGCTTATAACTGTAATCAAACTCATTGCAAAGTTAACCAAACTTTTAATAGCAGTGATACAGATAAGGAGCTTTATAGTTTACATAACACGTTCCCACATTCTCTCATCACATATTTAATGACAGACATAAACTGTGCTACATGCTAATTAAGTTTAATTAGTAAGTTCTTGTGAATAACTGTAAATAGTAAGTCTGGTGTGCTTCCAAAGCAAATTTCTAGGGTTTTTTTTCTTTTTTTTTTAATTAATTACCTGGTATTCATAATCAGGCTTAGTTTAAATCATAATGCTTTATATCATACATGTTAATCGCTATGTGCGGTAAGAAACAAACTAGACAGTTTGGAGTATAGCTCGGTGGTAGAGCTTGCCTAGCATGTACAAGGCACATGAGTTCCATCTTTATCATCCAAAAAGGAAAACTTGTAAGACCTTACTCCTGGCAGCTGAGCTTCTGTCAGTCCAAGGCTTTCCTTGTTACCAACTCTTTAAAAGATTTTACCTGTATTTGTGTATATCGGTGTGAATGTTTGTCACATTTTGCATGCTGAGGCTAGAAGAGGGTGTCAGATCCTCTGGAGCTGGAGTTAAGAGCAGTTGTGAGCCACCCAAGGTGGGTACTGGGAACCAAACTTGGATCCTCTGTGAAAACAGTACAAGCTCTTAACTCCTGAGCATCTCTCCAGCCCTGATTTATTCATTTATATTTTATGTGTATGAATGTTTTGCCTGTATCACGTGGAGGTGGAAGAGGACATCAGATCCCCTAGAATTGGAATTATAGGCTGTTGTGAGCCACTATGTGGGTGCTGGGAATCAAATCCCAGGGTCCTCTGCAAGAACAACTGGTGCTCTTAACAGCTGAGCATCTCTCCAGCCCCCCTTGTTATCAACTCCTAAATCTCTCCTATCCTCTCTTATCCCCACATCCCCCCCACTAGCACTTACATATTCACACCTGAGGAGGCTTTTGTATAGTATTCAACACTCATTTCCCAACATATATTTATTGAACATTATTCACCAGAGATGGAAAGTAAGGCACTGAAAAGACAGTGCTTAGCAAGATTCCTGATGCCCTACACTAATGGAGTTCACTAAGGGAACAGACAGATTTAGTGGGGAGTTATGAACAGGAAGTTGGCAGTTTTACTCTCTAGGCCACACTGTAGCCTATAATAAAGATGATGCATGAGGCTTTGTTTGCCTTTTATTATTATATACTTTTGGTTCATCTGTTCTGGATTGGGTTCTACTAGGCTCAGGAAGAGGATGGTGCTCTAGAAGAATGACTAGGGTTGACAGCCTGGTGTTCAATACATGGAGGGGAGCTGAGGTTAGGCAGGATTTGGTGAGATGGACTACAGATAGAATCATATAGTATGTAGATTTTCGTGTCTAGCTTTTGTTCATTTAGTGTTTTTATGGTTCACTCACATAGCATGTATCAGTACATCATTTTTACCACCAAATAATGTCTTATGAATACATGTTGTTCATATATCAGTTCATGGACTTTAGGTAGTTTTCATCTTTTAGCTATTGTGGTTTAGGTATGAATATTGAAATACAGTGTTTTCTTTTTAAATTTATTTAGAGATAGGGTCTTCCCAGCTGACCTGGAACTCACTATATAAACCAGGCTGTCCTCAACCTCACAGAGATTAGCCAGTCTCTGACTCCCAAGTTGTTAGGATTAAAGGCATGAGCCACTATTCTTGACCTAAGTTTTATTTATATATATATGAATATTTTGCCTGCGTGTATATAAGCGCACCCATGTCATTCAATGCCAGTGGATGCTAGAAGAGGGCATCAAATCCCCTGGAACTGGAGTTCCAATCAGTTGTTAGCCACCATGTGGGTGCTGGGAACCAAACCCAGGTCCTCTGCAAGAGTTGCCAGTGTTCTTTAACCACTGATCCATCTTTTCAGTCCCCAAATACAAGTTTTTGTGTGAACATATATTTTCATTTCTCTTATGAGCAGAATTTCGAGGTGGTATGTTAACACTATAACTTTTTGAGAAACTGCCTGTTTTTGGAAGTGATTCCACCATTTTACACTGCCACTGACAATGTACCAATTTAGCCATATCCTTAACACAATTTTTGTTTTTTTCATAATGACCATTCTAGTGGTTGGTTTTAAATTGGTACACTATTATGGTACCAATATGTGCTTCCTTGATGACTGGTGATGTTGAGCCAAGAACATTAAGGTATTCTTTGAAACACTGTGGGACCACGTTGTTTGAGGCAGGATTTCATGTAGTCCAGGCTAGCCTTGGACTTGCATGTAGCTGAGGATGGCCTTGAACTCTTGTCTTCCTGCCAAAGTCTGAGATTATAGATCTGCATCACCACACCTGGTTTGGGGTTACTTGTATGGGTGTGTGTAGGTATAGTGTCAGGTATGGTATCTTCAGTTGCTTCTCCCAACCTTATTTCTTTGAGATAGCCACTCTTGCACCTGGAGTTCATTGATTGTTTAGACTGGCTAGCCAGCAAGACTGTCTCTGCCTCTCCAAGATAGGGATTACAGGTGTGTGCCATAGTGCACTCAGGTCCTTATGCTTGCAAAACAAGCAGTTTACTGAGCCCACTCCCCAGCCTTGGGCTACTTTTAACATATTTTAAAACCTTTTATCTTATACATCTGTGGTTTTCTTTACTTTGTTGAACGTCATCACATAACTGGAAACAAAATTTTGATTTTATGAGGGTTTTGCCTGCATGTAAGTGCACCCATGACATGCAATCCCCACAGAGGCCAGAAGAGAGCAGTCAACAGCCATTGCTCTTAGCTTTTGAGCCCCTTGGGTTTTTTTTGTTTGTTTGTTTATACAGAGCCTCCCTGTAGCTTCAGCTGGCCTGAAACAGCTGGCCTCCATTTCATAGAGATCTGCCTGCCTCTGCCTCTCAAGCTGCTGAGATTAAAGGTGTGTGCCACCATGCCCAGCAAAACTTAATATTTATAATGAAGTCTGGTTTATAAGTTAAAAAAACATTCTCCAACTTAAATCTTTAAAATTTTTATCAATCTTTTCTTGGCAATGTAGCTAATTTTTTCTTTTTAAAAAATTTTATTATTTTTATTTTATGTGTATGAGTATTGCCTGCATGTATGTGAGTGCACCCATGTTGTGCAATGCCTCGGAAGTCAGAAGAGGGCTTTGGGTTCCCCTAGAATCTAGTTCTTAACTAGAACTGGAGTTAAGGATGGTTCGTAGCTGCCATGTGGGTGCTGGGAATTGAGCCTGGGTCCTCTGCGAGAGCAGTCAGTGCTCTTAACTGCCGAGTCATCTCTCCAGCCCCTAATTCTTTTTCTTATTGACAAGAAAATATGGGGCTAGAGAGATGGCTCAGCAGTTGGGAACACTGGCTGTTCTTGCAGAAGACCTGGGTTTGAATCCCAGCACCCACATGGCGGCTAACAGCTGTCCGTGACTCCAGTTCCAGGGGATCCGACAGACTCTTCTGTCCTCTGCAGGCATTGCAAAACACAGGTGCACTTACCTACATGCAGGCAATACACACATACACATAAAATAAAAATACAAATTTAAAAAAAGAAAATAATGTATTCTGTACTCTCTCCCAACACCTGCTCTCATCTCTCACCCATCTCATACCCATCCCCCAACCCCACCTGTCCCTTTCCCAGGTTCATGACCTTTGTTCTTGGGGGCTTTTTGGTCTTTTTGAGGCAGGGTCTCCCTATAGACGGGCTGAATCTTACTATGCAGACCAGGCTGGGCTTGAACTCACAGAGATCCTCCTGCCCCTGCCTCCTAAATGCTGGGATTAAAGGCATGCACCACCATGCCCAGCCAGTTTTGTTTTTTGACCCATTTTGTTTAATCAGGACCATCTGTGTGACCACTGGATTGGATGCCCTCATTGGAGCCTGGTGGGGTCATCAGTGGGTACACAAAATTTTCAAATCTTCAACCAGGAAATAGTGTTCAACTTATACTTCCAAATTTAATGAGCATTATAATTTTATGAGCAAGCCATTGACTGTATGCAAGACCACATTACAAACTGAGCCATAAGTTCATTTAAGGGCCTCAAATTCCTTATAGCAGTTATGTGACAGGCACTGTTGGGGCCCTCCACATGTATTAACTCATCTAATTCCCATGACAGTCCTGTGGCCTAGAGACTGTTACCATGTTACTGTACCAATAAGAAAATGGAAGCCGAGGGAGGGTAATTTACCTGGAGCCAGAGAGCACTTAGCAAAGATGGGCTTCATGTCCTTCCTCTCAACCACTTGCAAGGCTAAGGAGAAATTAAACCACTTGAATGTCTACTCCTTGCTTTTTCCTTCTCACTAACCCTGAAACTGGAGCCACATAGCCAAGTGCCTCTGCCCTCCTAAGTCCGGAAAGCCCTAGGCTGTGATGGTCTTGGATGTGACTTGAGAAATGCTTCGGTCCCCGCAGTTACAAACTTTGGCGGCCAATGAACGCCCGTAACCCGAAGGGCTCAAAGCTGAGCGGTGGGCGGAGCTTGCGAGGGGCGGGACAAACCAGTCGCGGTGCCTACAGTTGCGGCTTGGGCTGGGCTGTCCCAAGAGGAGCCATGAGCTGGATCTGCCCGCAGTGCCAGCAACCGGTTTACTTCGGTGAGGCTGGAACCGAGGAGTAAAGATGTGTGAGCCGCTGGGTTCCCTGGTTGCGTGTGCGTGTGTCGGGGCAGGGGGTTCCCCTCCAAGAGCTCTGGACCGGCTGGAGCTGGACTCCCCGTTGTCTCCAGGGAGCAAGACGGGCCGGGCTGGTTCCCCCAGAGCTGAAGGAGCAAAAGGAGGGTGCCTGGTGCATAGCTCCTTGCAGCCTGGATCCACCTTGTTCCCCACAGCTGAGAAAGTGAGCTCCCTGGGCAAGAACTGGCACCGATTCTGCCTGAAATGTGAGCGCTGCCACAGCATCTTGTCCCCTGGCGGGCATGCAGAGGTGAGGCCTGGCCAGGGTGACAACTCTGTGTCACTGCCCCCACCCCAATAGACCTTAATTCCGCCTTGGAAGCCTGCCAAAGGCAAGATCAGACCACCTCAGGGCTACCTACCCGGTAGGCTTCATACTAACCAGGTGGGATGCTTCAGTAGTGCAGTGACCCCCCTAGCTTTGTGGGAGGGGAAGCCATAGCGCTGACCCGCACCACCCCTGGACCCCAGTGGTAATCCTGGCATGCTAGACCATCACCTGCCCCTCCCAGCCCAGACAGTTGCAGTAGATTACTGCACCTGTGAGGCCTGGCCCCTTTGGCTCTGAGTGATCCTCTACCCTCACCTTGTGCTTGCTTGTACCCAGCACAACGGGAGGCCATACTGCCACAAGCCTTGCTATGGGGCTCTCTTTGGACCCAGAGGTAAGTGCCAGCCTAGAGGGGGCCAGGAGCCATAGAACTCTCTGAGCTAGGAGCTAGAGCCCAGGTCTGATCTCCTCTGTTGGGTCTTCTTTCTGCAGGGGTGAACATTGGTGGTGTGGGCTATCTCTACACCTCCCACAAGCTCTCCCCTGTCAGAAGCACTTCCTTCAACCCCAGCAACTTCAGCCCCCCCAGGCCAAGGTCTGGCCTCCCCCATGCCAAGAAAAGTAAGTGAAGTTGGACCTCAGCTGTTTCTACTCCTCCCCCTCCCTTCCTCAGGCTTCAGCAGACTCTGGATTCCAGAGACAGTCCTCTGTCCCACCCTCTGCTCCATAGTCCCATAGCTGTTCTTGACAAAGTCTTGTGGCCCCATTTTTAATAATTTTTCATGTGAGCTTCTGAGTTTAAGAGGTAAACTGGGCAGATGGTATGATCACCCTCATTTTACATGGGAGGCAACTGAAGTCCAGAGAGGAAAAGTGATTGGACACGAGGCTGCTGACAAGAGGCAAGACTGGCCTGGTACTCACTCCTCTTCCCCAGGCCAGTGCCATGGAAGGAAAGGCAAGTGAGGGGTCATTAGGATGGGACCAACCTCTCAGATTCTTCAACTTCTCTGATTCCTGTTCCCTGAACTCCCTGGAGTGGGCAGTGACACCATGCTCCCCAACACCTGACACCCCTGCCCTGGCCAGCTCCTATATCATCTCAGGTTTCCTGAGGATTGAGTTGCTACCAGCATTGGGCCAGTGGGCCCCTGAGGCCCTGGGAGGATGACAAGCAGTGGCCCCTAATGAAGATAGTGACAGAGCCAGAAATGAGTCTGTACCCTGGGCTTCAGGAAGGCAGACTCATGGCTGCCTGGTAGGGGGCTCTGGAATGAGTGGGTTTGAGGAGAGGATAAATGCCATGTACAGGCAGGGGCCAGCAGGCCCTTCTCAGGCCCTGGCCCCTACCACAGCCCTAGCTGGGGCCTCTTCCTCTTAAAGGCCCTTCCTACACGAAGACATTCACTGGGGAGACCTCACTGTGCCCTGGCTGTGGAGATCCTGTCTATTTTGGTAAGTGATAATAGAAGCTTAGAGGGGAACTCTGGGTGGGCAGCAGAGGGCAGGAAGGTGATCCAAGGCAAGTGGCTGTCCCTGCCCTGCCCCTAGAATGGAAGAACTACTACTTCTCTCCACCACCAGCTGAGAAGGTGATGTCACTGGGCAGAAATTGGCACCGACCCTGCCTGAGGTGCCAGCGTTGCAGGAAGACCCTGACTGCTGGGAGTCATGCGGAGGTGGGCAGGGCAGGAATGATGGCTATGTTGGGAGGTAGGAGGCTGGAGGTAAGAAGAGAGGGAAGCTGAGACGATTCTCTTTCTGTGTTCCAGCATGATGGAGTCCCCTACTGCCACATCCCCTGCTATGGCTACCTGTTTGGCCCCAAAGGTGGGCAGCCCCACCCCAGCCCCACACTGTGGGAATGTGTGGACAACTTCCTTTGTGGTCAAACATATCCCAGGCCCCTCCCCACTCCCTTCACCCTCAACCCAACAACCTTCCCTCCAAAGCCCTTGGTGATAGGGCTTTCTCCTTCAGGTGTGAACATTGGCAATGTGGGCTGCTACATCTATGACCCAGTGGAGATAAAATCCAAATGAGTCACTCACAGGAGAGATCACCCTGACTCGGGCTCCCCGCCCTCTCCCCTCCAAGCTCTGGAATTCCCTAGTCCCTTGGGCAGGGGGATTCTGGGGCCTGGGCCTAGGCTCTGGGGTAGGCCAGAGAGTCTAGACTTTCTCTGCCAAGTCTTCCCTTTCCCATTCCTACGTGGTTAGGCCACCCCACTTTGAATGGTGATCTCCAGGCTTCCCAGTTCCCTTTGCTTGTTTATTCAGCCTCAGCTCTCTGGTTTCTCTAATAAAATGTTGGCTCCCATACTGTCCACTCTTCTTTAGGTAAGAAACTTAGTGAGTTTGGGGGCAAAGGGGTACCCTGCAGGCTACTTCAGAGATTAGTATTAGCCATGGCAAGAAGCTCTATCTGTTGGCCCCTTGGCCCTAGCATTAGGTAGCCCCTAGCTCTACAAACAATAGACAGCATGCCCACCAGTCTAATGAGTAGCAGAAGTCATGTTGGACCATCCCTTTAGCACCATTTCTAGAATCATCTTGTTCAGTTTGAGCATGACAACAGGTGTTGTCAGAAGGTCTGCTAGAAGGTTTCAGTATCCATTTGGGACATGAACAGTGGCAAAACTGGAATCAGCCAAGGACCAACTCAACAGTTTCCATCTGAGGGTCTTCCTAAATCTCCTCACTGCTGCCCCAACCCAAGAGGCACCTTTATTTACAGAATCCCCCAGTCATGAGAGGGGTCCCCAGAATCTCCAGCAGCCCAGTGCATTCTGGGAGGTTGACCTGTTGCTGGAGACTGAACAGTTAAGGCTGGATGAACACAGGCAGAAGGCACCAGTGGCATCTCCATCCCTAGGCAAAAGGGTTTGATGGCCCAGTCACAAGAGCCATGCTTTCTGCTCTCTGCTCCTCCTGCATGGAGCCATGGAGGGTTGTCTCCAGTCCCACTCAGTCCTGGACCTGCATCTCTTCCTCCTGAATACTGGACAGGACACCAATCAGGAAGGAGTTGGGAGCATGGTGGTGGTCAGTCCTGGAGCCTACATCCCCATCAGGACTGGCTCAGGGCTGACTCCAGCTCCTGGTATACAAACACTCATACTCTCACAAGTGAGTCATATACATGTCTGTACATCCTAGTGTGTAGACATGTCTGAGGGTATACATGTGCATCTCCTTCTGAACATTCTTAGGTATTTGTGTATACATAAAGGTATGGATTTATGTATGCTTTTATGTACACAGCTTATACACCCCAGGGCATATACCTTAAACACCTGTACACATGTGCATGTGCCAAGTATACTTGTGCAACTCTCTTCCCCTATGCATCCTATGGTGCCAAGGACCTTAAGCACCTGAACCCACATGCATATACACACATGCACACGAAACACAGTTCTGTGCACACACCTCTTTCTTTCCACGTCCTGGATGGTCTCTGGAAGCTGTGCCTTCTTCGTCTCTGGCAATAGGAGTACAGTGCAGGCAGCCAGCAGAGCAATCCCCCCATAAGCAAGTTTGGGCAGCAATAGCCACACTGTATCTAGCAAGCCTGCCAGTGGGGCTAAAGAGCCCCCTAGCCGGCCTATTAGTGCAGCGAGTCCAAGTCCTGTCTGTCTGTGCAGAGAAAGGGAGGTACCTGCTTCTCAGATTTGCCTCACGAGGCTCCCCTCCTGAGCTAGCAGCACCTGCCATCCCCTTCCCAGACAGTTAAGCTAGGGTCTCCCACCCACCTCAGGGCCAGGAACTCTCAAACCAGTACCCACCAGAGGATAGGCCCCCATTCTGATAGGGTACCACTCAGGGACCACTACAAGAAGCTGCAAGATGAGAGTAGTACAGAAGGGACATCAGCTTGCACAGCAGGGTCATGTGAGAGGAGGTCCAGGTCTAGCTCAGATGCCTAGAAGCCTCTTCAGTCCACTTGCCAAAGGATGGCTGAAAGGGCCCCTGGCCTTGAGTCCAAAAACCACCCCCAACGGCAGTTCTGCAGTACTGAAGAAGTGGGCCAGCTGGGGATTCTTGGGACTGTGTTCTTCTAAAGGAACCGGGTAGGGGTTATCTGACTTGGCCCAGGATCACACAGTACAGAAGGTGAAATTCCCTGTCCTCTGCAAGGCTTGGATAACACAACCCTTATTAGCTCTGTATTCTGGGTGAGGTGTAAAGAGTGGGGAGGACAGTGTGTAAATGTGGAAGTGTGGGTTAAGGCAGGTCAATTGCCAGACTCCAGGTCCCCTCACCTGAGCACCGTAGGGTACAGCTCTGAAGTGAACAGGTAGGCAGTGGTGAATGCAGCTTCAGAAAAGGCTTTTCCAACCACCACCAGGGCAGTGATCCAGGACTTGGTCTCTGAAGGAAAAGGGGTTTCAGTGAGGGATAGCTGTCAAGGGCTCCGCGGGTGGGAGGCCAAGTCTCAGAAGAGGGCAGAGCCTAACTGCCATTTCTCCGCTCAGGGAGGGGCGGCGCCTCCCGCCCCGGAGGCGGGGTCCATTGTGGGCGGGGCTCTGCGGCCTGGGCGGGGCTCGGCTCACCAGAGGATATTAGCAGTGCCATGCCGAAGGTCAGAGCCGCGCTCAGCAGCATTACTGCCTCCGTGAGCCGGCGTCCCACGTGGCGCACCAGGAAGTAGACTGCGAACTTGGAGGGCAGCTCCACGGCCCCTAACACCAGCTGCGTCTGGTACACGTTCAGCTCCAGCCCGGACAAGTTGAGAGTCAGGCCGTAGTAGGAAAAGTTTACTCCAAACCTGAAAGAAGGCGCTGTGCCACTCTTAAGCGCTCCCTCCTCTACCCCCAATCTGCTCTTAGGAAAACTTGGCCTTTTGGCTCTTAGGAAAACTTGGTCTTTCGGAAGGACCATCTCCCCCTCTACAGAGCCTGCTGCCTAGGATCTTCCCCGCCACCCGTAATCCCCCCACGAGAATCATGTATCAGAGGTCCACATGCCTTTACCCTGATCTTTGTAACAACCGCTTATGTCATAGCCAGTTTTACAAAACGGATTCTAAGGATCAGAGTAGTGAGTGAGTTGTCCAGGATCACACAGTAGAGTCTGAATTTGAACCCGTATGTCTGTGCTGCCCACTCCATCTTCTGACCTCTCACAGCCAAATCCCCGCCTGAACCAGAGGTGATCCATCCTCCTGCCCTCCCCAGTTACACTCTTGACCTCCATCCTTCTCACACTCCAGACTCAAGTTAGTTCCCTCCTTACCACATCACCATGCAGCACAGTGAGATGTGCCTGAGCTGCCGCGTGCGGAACAGATCTAGGTATGAGGGTCTTTGTGATACCCGTTCCATGGTGGCAACTTTGTTCAGGACCTGGTGGGAGAGAAAGCAAGGTTGTGTCAGAGTTGGCCTTGGAATCGCAATATCTCTCTCTCCCACCCTCTCCCCCGTCTCTCTCCCTCTCCGTCCCTCTCCTCTCTCTCTCTCTCTCTCTCTCTCTCTCTCTCTCT